TTAGCTTTATCCTTAGTTAAGGCTCCCCACCTAATCCTGGGGCGTCCTTGTACTGACCTCTTCCTCCTCCTTATCCTAATACAAATGTCAAAAGCCTATGCTGCGTTGAGAGGGTCTCACCTGGGATAACCTTGCAGTCCTCGCACAACCTCCTGTCGCATCTCCTGAGGAGGAGATAGTCAATCTGGGTCTTCGCAACATGATCAAAGAAAGCAATAATTACAAAATACCAAGTAACAATTAATTCATGATGTAAAACAATTTATAATTTTCAGGAAAATTATGCAAACAATTAATTTGACGATGTATAGGCACTCGTCACCCTGCTTATACGTTGTACACATGGAATTCACATAACAAATAATTCAAGGGTTCTATTCCCTCAAGTCAAGATTAACCATGACACTTACCTTACTTTGCAATTTCGATCAATTACTCGACCATAACTTTTCCTTTTGAATTTGTCTCTAAAATCTTCAAATCTATTCACAAACAATTCGAAAGACTCAACACGAATCGTAGGAATTAATTCCAAATGAATTTACTAATTTTTCAGATTAAAATTCGAAATTTAACTCAAAAATTGCCCGTGGGGCCCACGTCTCGGAATCCGACGAAACTCATAAAATCGGACAACCCATTCCAATACAAGTTCAACCGTACAAAAATTATCGAATTTCGACATCGGATTGGCTTTCAAATCTTAAATTTTTGTTTTTTGGAAGATATTACAAAAAACCAAATTTCTTCCATCTAAATCTGAAAATAAATGATGAATATTGACATGGATTTATGAAATATAATCACTTGCGGATAGAGAACACTTACCCAAGTCGAATTCGTGAAAAATCCCTTTGGAATCGCCCAAATCCGAGACTCAAAACTCAAAAATGAGTAAAAATAGCTAACTCTCGTTTTCAAGTATTCTGCCTGGGCAAGTCGCATGTGTCAAATGCGACTCCGTCTCATATTTCCAGGCAAACAAAAGCTGCTACTAGCGTTCAGTCAATCAACCATAACTTTCTGTACAAATGTCCTAATGATGAATGATTTAACTTTATGGAAAATAGAATTAAAAAGCTACAACTTTAATGTTTTGCACATTTTCAGATTCCTTATAGATTTTGAGATATAAGCTTCCAAAGTAACCTCCTCGCATCAGAAATTTCTGGAAAATTTTCAAAACAGCTTTACCGACCTTTATTTAATCGATCATAACTTTCTGTACAAATGTCCAAATGATTAACGGTTTAGCTTTCTGGAAACTAGAATGCAAGGCTACAACTTTAATGTTTTGCCAATTTTCAGATTCCTTATAGATTTTGAAATATAAGCTTCCAAAATAGGCTCCACGATTGCACCATTGTTGTCCAAAACAACAATTGTAGCAGAAAAAAAACAGCAGTTTCTTTTGTCCGAAATCCATTCCGTTAACCTTCCGAAATTCACCCGAGACTCTCGAGACCTTAACCAATTATACCAACATGTTCCAAAATACAATACAAACTTAATTGAGGCTTCAAACCACGTCAAACAACGCCGAAATTACGAATCGCGCATCGAATCGAATTATGAGTTTTCAAATCTTCCAACTTCTATATTTTGCACCGAAACATATCAAATCAATCTGTAATAACTTCAAATTTTGCACACAAGTCATAAATGACATAATGGAGCTGTTCCAATTTTCAAAATCGGATTCCGACCCCGATATCAAAAAGTCAACTCTCGATCAAACTTTCAGAAAATCTTCTATTTTCCAACTTTCGCCAAAATGCCGAATTGTCCTACAGACTTCCAAATTCAAATCCGAACATGCGCCTAAGTCCGAAATCACAATACGAAACTATTGGAATTATCAAAATTCCATTCAAATCCGAGGTTGTTTGCTCAAAATGTTGACCGAAGTAAACTCAGTTGAATTTTAAAGCTCTAATTCACATTTTAATCCATTTTTCACATAAAAACCTTTCTGGAAAATTATACGGACTGCACACGCAAGTCGAGGAATGATTAATAGCATTTTTTAAGGTCTTAAAATATCGAGATGATTATTTAATTTAAAGATGACATTTTGGGTCATCACAACTAGTATGGTTGGTAAGGAATTACTTGTTCACTTCACAAGTTGAAATTTTTGTACAATCTAACACAATTTCTAGACACGAATGCAAGATTCTACAACTTTACGATTTTGACAAATAAACTTAAGAACTGTACATAGTCAAGACAATCAAACAATGGTTCTGATTGCTCTGGCTTTATAATTATTCTTTATTTTCTCCTCTGCTCTTCTTCTTCTTCTTGCTCATCCTCTTTCTCTTCTGCTTTAATTTGCTTCGTCTTCCTTCTCTTCTTGTTTTTATTCCTCTTCCTTTTCTCCTTCCTCATCCCCGCCCTCTTCTTCGGCACTTTTCCTTTTTTTAACAAAAATAACATAATATAACAACATTAAATATTTTGAAGTTATGACAACAATAACACGATATAACGAAAATGAAAAAGTCAATGTCTTTGGGAAGTGTCATAGACATCCCAATTTTAGTTAAATAAACTAAAATTGACAAAGTGACATACATTTATCGAATGGACTTGGTGTCATTTAAAAATTTAGAGTAAGAGTGTATAGCAGTAGAAGGCAACTCAAAGGAACAATTTCTCCAAAAATTCAAAAACTTTCTATACAAAATCAAGTTTTGTAAAAACACAAACAAACACCATATAGTGCATTCCCTCGAGTTTGCGAAGTATTTGCATCAAGTAATGAACCATAGGAATATAGATGCTTTCAAAACAATGAAGATTTTCAAATCAGAAAATCAGTCAGAGGTTCAAAATATCGAATTGAAGAAGAAAAAAACAGGAATTAACTGACAATGACAAGAAGAGCAGACAAGCATATACTGACGAGTAGCACTACAGAAGAAAGCTAATTACTAATGTCAAAGAACATATCGTAAACCAAGTATAGAAATCTCATCGAATTAATCATGCCCCATTTCCATCTTCTTCTCTTTTTTAGTTCTACAAATTAATTAAGTTGGGTTGATCAGTTCTTACATGGCCATCATGTAGTTGACGAACTCCTCATAGCTGATCCGTCCATCACCATCCACGTCAGCTTCACGAATTAACTCATCAACCTCTTCATCTGTAGGTGGTGCCTTGTCTCTGTTTGCCATGAAATGGCGAAGATCAGCTGCAATAATAAATCCATCCTGATCCAGGTCAAATCGGCTGAATATTTCCTTGAACTCAGACGCCTGATCATCTGTAATTCTTTTGGTTTCATTTCTGTTTTATATCAATTGAAACTTGGATGAGCAACCACAACAATTTCTCAAACATTAAGTGCATGAAAAGTCATTCCGAATGAGTGCACTTGTTTTTTGAACGAGAAATTAAAGAAAAGAAGATACACTAAATATTGAAAAAGAAAGGAAGAAACAAAAAATATATATAAACCAATTAAATTAAGAGAAAATTCAAAACCAATAGAAAGTTCTTTAAAGGAAGAAAGATTACATTTTTTTGACATGCTACTTTAAGAAAACTCATAATTTTAAATAGTTTATCAAGAAAATAAAAAAGACTATGTAAAAGGATAAAAGACATACCGAGAGTAAGGAGGAAAAATATAGACGTCCAGGTTGTCACACCCTGTAGTTGCTTCTACTTCTTCCTTAATCTCCAAAGCTGAAACCTTGAGGGAGTTTTGATTACAATGGATCACCTTGATTGATGTAAGCGTTCCAATATCCACAAAACTGTCAGGAATCTTCTCAAGCAATTCAACAGATTTTAGCACTAAACTTTCAAGCATGGGAAATGATGATGATTCTAAGACGTGCCATTCCCTAATATGAACGCCTCGAAATTTTAAGATTTTGAGTACCGGGAACTCCATATCTCTCACGTCCCACTCCTCTTGCTCGAATCTACACCCTTGAAATACCAGTCTTTGAAGGTTGGGTAACCCAGCAATTGTGGAAGTTGCACTTGCTAGTATATTAATTTGGCGGAGGATCAGCTCTTTGAGACTTGAAGGTAAATAATACTTGGTGATATTATACATCGAACCAAACACGAGAGATTGAAGCTGTGTAAGAACATCCAATTTCAGAACGAGAGAGTTAGCTTCACCAAAATTATTAACTTCAGCTTCATCAAAATCATTAACTTCAGCTTCATCTAAATAATTAACAATTATTACGAGGAGAAGCTTTTGAAGATTGGGAAACATCTCAATTAACTCTATATCCTCACGAAATAAACACATGCCTTTAAATGCCCTCAAATTCTCCAACTTAGACGGACCTTCTTCAGAAACTGCAAATATCTCATGAGGTAAGCGTGTTGATACGTCTACATGCTTTAATTTTGTCATCTTCCAAATATGAGGTGTCCCTTCTACTGATATCTCAGTATCCACCAGTAAAGTTTCCAGATCGCACATGTGTGATACCCACTCGAAAAAAAACTTTTCGAAACACATTCCCAGGTATCTCAGGTAAACTAGTGATTGCAATATATCTTCTATATTCGTATAATCCCCTGGAATGCAGTTCTTGATATCCAGCACTCTAAGAAGTCTTAAGTCTCCAACTGATGAGAAATGATAGGAACGAGATAAATACTCTTCAGAAATAGTACCGTGAAAACTAGACTCACTATTCCAAAAATCTCTATAAGCAAGAAAATCATCCGCGTTATTAGTAACAAAGAACGATTTAAGATCTTGTCCAAAAGATGTTCCTTTTTTTGAGCCGCTTGTGAGGAATCTATCTACTTCGTTGTCGAATCTCTGCAAATCATGACGAAGCTTATGGTCGAGGTGAATGCACACTCGATGTTCTTCATCATATGAAGGTTGATATTGGTTATGTGTCCCTATAACTTGCATGAATTTTTCTTCTTTAGCTTTGTTTAAGACAAAGTCACGCACTAGATCATGAATTTGCAAGTACTTCACCTTGCCATCAAAGGTCGTCTTTGAAACCATTAGTAGGCTACTTGAAATTATATCGGTCAAGTAAACTTCAGCTACCTCCTCCAATCCTCTCTCATCACTACATTGAACGAGGCCTTCGGCCATCCAGAGTAACATCAATTTAGATGGGCCAATTTTTTCATCCTCCCTAAATACTCCCATAGTTAGAAGGCAATGTCTCAAATGATCCGGTAAATAGCAGTAACTTAATTGTATTGCCAAGTTGCTCTCACTTTCAACTGCTCCAAGATGAGACTTTAAATTGTTTGCAACTTCACACCACTCCGAGACATTCCTTTCTTTCTTTGCCAGAATTCCACCAACCAAAACAACTGTAAGAGGCAGCCCTTTACAATATTCTGCAATTTGTACCCCAACATCCTTGAATTCAGGAGGGCAAGTTTCCTTTTGAAATGCTTTTTTCTCCAACAATTTCCAGCTTGCTTCCCTGGTTAGGAATCGAGGGGAATAAGGATCGGCACAGTGCTCGACTTCCATTGCCACATGTTCAAGTCGAGTTGTTAACATGATTCTGCTTCCTTGTTTACCGATTGGAAAACATAATCTTAACTCATCCCATGCCTTTACTTCCCATACATCATCCAAAACAATGAGATATCTTTTCCCTATTAAACACTTGCGCAACATATCGGCTATGTCACTCTCCTTATCTCCACTGCACTTAACACCTGTCACTTGCTTATAGATGTCCCTCAACAGCTCTCTCACATCATATGATTGCGAAATGATAACCCATGCTCGAACATCAAAGTGAGAAACAATAGAAGAATCTTTGAATATCTTTTTTGCCAAAGTGGTCTTTCCGAGACCAGGCATGCCAAAAATAGAGACAATATCCCGTTCCCTTATTCCTCTGGTCAGTAGCTTAATTATCTTCTCAGCATCATCCTCAAGCCCCAGCGGTTCCTCTTCAGTTACTTGAGTACTTGGTGTAGCACTCTCATCAATGTTGACATCCTCCATCCTAATTAGCTTGATCTATTTTCGGGTTGAAATGCTTGATGTCAGAGAGCAGTATGCCTAACATGAGTAATAGCAATGACATGGTCAATCTCCAGTGAGCAATATAAAGATCAGGAAAAAAAATGGGTGCTAAATTGCCATTAGGAACTCTTAATTCTCTGACATAGATTCTAAATTGCCTGTAATTACAAACAAAGAACTCATGGATTCTTTTCTTCAAATATTCTTTGTTTCTCAAATTAGCAGTCCAGCTCGTGAAAACCTAATGTAAAATCCCCCTAATGTCGAATTACATCAACACATTCCCATTTTCAGATTCAGATTCCTTTTATAAATTTCCACTTCAATTAAACATTTACAATTATTCTTTTATTTCATTTACTACTAATCCAACTTAGAATTCCCTGTTGTATGACTTATATTTAAAATCCCATATATTTCAAAATAGATGAAATACATAGTAATAATAAATATACAATCAATAACAACAAGTCAACACTGTATAAGTACAAATCCATGTTGTGTTAATTAAATTTTGAAACAAAAAATAGTAAAAAAGAACTCATTGAAGTTTAAAAGCTGCCACCATGGGGTAACGTCAACCTCCAATCTGAGAACAAGGAAATATGATTTCTATTCTTAAGCAAGAAAAACACTGACCTACAACTGTTAAGCAATGAACCTTCCGTCTTTCAGTAGCGAAGAGTTTCTACTCTGTAGTGATGGAAATTTTGTCAATTATTAGACAAAAGGAAAAGGGCTTTCACCTTGAAGAATTATTCTTATTATCTACTGTGAGTCAATGCATGAGGCCTATTAACAACTGGGAATTATTGAGAAATATACATATAATATTGTCCATATTCTGATTTAGGAATTTTTAATTATCAATGCGGGCTAGCTGTATATGTACAGTTCTGAGTTTCTAATTTAGTAATCACAGGAAAGGTATCTTAAAACACTTGATCATAATACATTATTCAATGATATAGCTGGTGAATTCGAGGAAGTCTTTTAATTTGACGTTATTGCCCCTACCATCCAAACTCAAAAGTTTAGAAAGCCACCGGTAATAGAAATAGTGTAACTACTATATTCTTGTTATAAATAGAATTTTATTTATGATGAATGTCTATATTTAGAGAGATTCTAGGGTTCATACTTGGTGGCTAAGTCAGTCTCTCCCTATAAATAGAGGGTTCTATTCTATTGTAATTCATCCCAAAATCAATAAGAGTTCCCTCTCCCTACTTTTCTCTGCAATACTTTTCTTCTTCTTTTATTGTTTCATAACACGTTATCAGCACGAGACTCTAACCTATTGAGTAAAAGCTTTGGGATTGAGCATAATAATTATCAATTGTTCCATAAACTTCCTTCATGATTAAATTCAGGATTTAAGGTAAGTATTTTACTTTTCTCTTTCAAATTCTTGATATTCTATAATTTGATTTTAAATACAAGCAAAGACGATAAATTGTGATTGTAACTCTAATGGAGTTTGAAAGAAATTATAACCACCCAAAATGGTAAAATTTCTATGCCTTGCCATGATCAAATTCATGTATGATTGTTGGCAAAGAATTGAAAACCCGTCCCATTGAATTTACTCCATTCTCATTCCCTTTAGAGAATGTGATAGCAGTATGTGATAAGTCTGAAAGAAGATAAAATTATTACTATGAATGTATCAATGGATGTGGACGTGGCAATAGACGAAATTATAATCGTCATCATTGTGGTAATGAGAACAATAAGGATTCTCAAAATAATCCTTCACTCTGTGAAAGTAATATTTGTCATCGATTTGACATGAGATTTTATAAAGCACATATAGATGATTATTGTCCATTCATGATGTGAATGTGACAACATCTAATTTATGAATATATATTCATTCTTGGAAGAATATGAACGTGCTAGTGGTAGTGAATATGCCACACTCACCTCTAGAGGGAGGTTTAAGAGGAAATAAGAAAATAATGTCATTATTATGGCATAAATGGTCATTAATCACATACTTATTGTACGCCAAAATATTTTGGCAATGTAATTATTAAAAGACAACAGTAATGCAAGGAACAGATCTTGCATATAATTTTGACCATAACCATAATGGTATAACTTTCTCTTTAAAAGAGATATTCACCATATGGATGTTGATGAATATGTGGAAGTACCAAATTAATCGAGAGCTCTGGAAGAGCCAATTATTACTATTTTGGAGAAACACAATTGATTACCAATAAGGTATTGTGTTGTAGTAAATCTCAAAGAAACTTATTCAGTTTCCAAAGTACACGCGAAAGCGGTTGATTATATTGAGACTATAAATAAAGGAAAGATTTAATATCTTCTATTACTACAACTTGTAGCGGGATAATATGTATGTGAAAAGCTACCTGCTTTATTCTCCAATTTGTACTATATAAATAAAAGAATGCCATAATAAAGTGGCTGTTTATTGATATAAAAACTCATATCATAATAAACTTGGAGTTTATTGATAATGCACATGTCATGTGTAAATTTGAAGTTTATCAATATTGATAATTTATTCAGTTGGCATAATTGGTTTAGCCATATTAATTTAGGTATCATGTGCAAAAATAAAAGAGAATCTACATGGGTAAATATTAAAGAACTAGAAAGTTCTTTACGAATTCTCTTATATTGTTTGTTCTCATTAATTAATAGGCCAACTAAAACTGGGATTGAATCCCATGAATGCTGGAAATATAAAAGGTGAATATGGACCCATTCACCTGCCATGTATACCACATAAGATGCATCTATGAGATGGTTACATGTGCGATTATTATTAACCCGCAACATGGTATTTTTTGCGAGGTAACTTGCTCAATAATTTGATTTAGATCATAATTTTCAGATTTTTTATTCAAGATAGTTCATCTTGATAAGTTGGTTTACATCAAAGTTGGTTTAGAAAAATAATTTATTGAGTGCCTCCACGTAATAGCTAAACTATTGCTTATGAGAACAAAGTTATCTATATCAGTTTGATATACGTTATATA